GCCGCTGAAGTGGAGAATTACATGACGTCAGTTGAAAGAGTTCTGACGTATACTAAACTTAACTGTGAGCCTGGGTACAAAGTAGAACGACACCCCCCTAAAGATTGGCCAAGTGAAGGACGTATTGCATTCAGAAATGTATCATTGACGTATTATCCGGAAGGACCTCAAGTGCTGAAGGAAATAAATCTTAATATCAAAGGAGGAGCAAAGATCGGAGTTGCTGGCCGTACGGGAGCTGGGAAATCATCGTTAGTGGCAGCTCTTATGCGCATTCCTGATGCTGACGGAGAGATAATTATTGACGAGATTTCAATAAAAGATATAAACATCCGACAATCCCGACGGAGTATTTCGGTCCTTGGTCAAACTCCTGTGCTTTTTAGTGGAACACTGAGAAAAAATCTAGACATTTTAGAGGAGTTTGAAGATCCTGACTTATGGCAGGCCTTAGAAGACGTGCAGCTAAAAGATTTTGTAGAGAATCTTGAGGCGAAGCTTAATCACGAATTGCTTGAACACGGTGCTAATGTCAGTGTAGGAGAGCGGCAGTTGATTTGCTTGGCTCGTGTGCTGCTGCAGCGAAGTAAGATTATTATATTGGACGAGCCAACTGCGCATGTCGACCCCGCCACAGAGCAGACGATTTGGGACATTGTACGGGAAAAGCTGAAGGACGCAACTGTTATCACTATAGCTCACCGTTTGAACACTTTAAAAGACTGTGAGATGATTTTGGTTCTAAAAGATGGAAGAGTTCATGAATTTGACAAATTTAATTAACTGGTGAGCACTCAGATCTGAAACTGGCATGGCTCTTTGAACGGACTCTGAGGAAAATTTTAACTTGGAGGCACGTGGCCGCATTTTGACTCCGGCTCTAGCAACCATAAACCAAAGTCCATTTGGTGCAAAAATGGAGCACCGGTTTTTTGTATCTGTAGTAAGATGATAAAAGATTAACCGTAACGATAACTGTGTGCCTTGGTTAAAAAAGCTGTTCCTCCTTTGAGAGAGTTGATCAGTTATGAAACACTTTAAAAAATCGCTAGTTTCACCCAAGTACTCGGCTTCATCCAATTGAATAATTCTTTCCCAATTATATCAATATGCAAATATCTATTTAGTGTTTTTCATCAGAAGAAAGTCCCAATCTGATTGAGACCAATGAATTAAAAGTGTGTATGTTTCTTTTGTTGCTTGAAATGCTTCTACCCGAAATTCTAAACAGACCTTCCTTACATAATAAGCTTTAAGACTCCGCGAAGGAAACAAATAACATCAAGTTCTTTAGTTCTTTGATTGTTCGGCGGTTGCGGGGTTGGTTGGAAAAACTCATTTCACCAACGTGAAGCCACTTTAACCCCAAACATCGCACGTCCTGTTGGAAACCAAACATACTTTCTGAGTTCGCTTGCTTAAGCAGAAGTTTCCATATTTCGTCTGTGAACTAACTGAATACACCTTGTAACTTGTAGAAAGATAGAATTCCGTGAGCTACATTGTTGAAGTCGCTGTGCGCTGGACAAAATCTTTGAAAATTACACTTTCGATCGCTGTTCACAGGGGTGGTCTGCCCAAAAATCATTTTTGGCTTGTGGCGACGCAAAAGAAGAGAACTGGAGAACAACTAAACTATTTTTGAAACATGTGTCCTAAACCCTTTTCATGGGCAAAAAATGAAAGAAAACTTTTTTCCGACGGGAAGTCGAGAGGACCGCTCTTAGCGGGAGCGGCACTTAAGATGCTGGTGCATTCTGCTGAAATAACCGAAAACGTACGTACAGGCTTGAGCGGCTCATTCCGGGGCGGTGGATTATTCAAATTTTGATCTGTTAAGGTAAATGAAAGAACCGTGTTTTCTATGAGTTCACTCACCCGTTAAAAGAAACAAATTCGAGGCGTTGTAACCTTTGGTCACAATTACTCGGCTGACTTACGATGACTGACGATGACTTAAGTACTAAAACATGGAACGACCTAAAACCACCTAACACCACCTAAAACCACCTCAAAAACATCCACAGCCACCCGCAAACCATCTAAAACCATCTAAAAAAGGCATAAATGTCTAAAATAAGGCGAGACGACGAATAATTTAATATTCCCTCAATAGCAAAAGACTTAAAGAACTTTACAAAATGAACTAACAAGTTACAAAAAAAAAATAAAGTAAAATAACAAACTCGTAGTCAAGACTTGACTTGGCTTTTTCTACCCTGGGTACCAGCAGACGTTTTGGCTCACGTCTAGAAAAAAGTTTGAGAAAGAAAGATCATTAAAAATATTTTAGGGGATCTGTGCTTACCTTCGGGGTCTTCCTTTAGCACGAACGCGCTGGCATTCATTCAGCATGCAGTTGTACGAGTGGTGCCACTTACGCAATAGTGACTCACGTTTTGCTCCAATTACATTTCAAGTGCTGTAATTATAAATGGAGAAAAACACTACCTTGAACCATTACGCAATCAAATGAAACGTGAGCCAAAACGTCTGCTTGTAAAGTTCTTAAGTCTTTTACTACTGAGGTAATAAAAAATATCATTGGCATGCTCTCGCATTTCATTTCGTGAGATGGTTGATTATACATGGGACCAGGGAGAGTAAGATTTCAGGGGGAGGCGTAGGTTTCGTTCGATTCTCGTATTTCATGTACGTGACTTGCTGTCGTTTCGCCTTATTTTAGACATTTATGCCTTGTTTTAGATGGTTTTAGATAGTTTGTGAATGGCTGTAGATGTTTTTAGGCGGTTGTAGGTGATTGTTGAAATTTTTGAGGTGGTTGTAGGTGGTTGTAGACGGTTGCAGGTGGTTGTGGGTGGTTTTATGTGGTTTTAGGTGGTTTTAGGTCGTTCCATGTTTTAGTACTTACCGGCTGATGAACTTAATGAGGATTTCAGAGAGCTTTCTTTACAAAGCGCAAAGTGAAGTCAACAAAATTTAACTTGTCTAGGTAAGCTTGTCTTCTTTATCGTTTTGTTAAAAGACCTCGTTATACTTGAAATTATACTGATTCCGGTAAAACTAGCAGAGATATGGTGGCCTAACGTTAACAGAGGGCATACATACTTATCAAGGTCATTGTGTTGTGTTCTTTCGCGAGACATTTTACTGTGGGTAAGCACCAGGGTGTATAAATGTCCCAACAGTTCAGGTATAAAAAAAAGAATAAAAATTGAATAAATATGTGTAGGCAAAGCTTCTAAGCTTTTGAGCTCTTCTCAACATTCTAGAGAATGAAGATTCTTCTACGGAGCCTGATGAGATAATGTTAAACTCAAACACAGCAAAATTGAAACAAATTTAACCAGTTGTACGATATTTTTCGTACACCTAAAAACTCTAGGACTTTTTCTCTTTTAAAACGAACGTCTTTCATTTTCCTTTTTAACTCGTGGAAACGTGATAGCGTAGAAGCGAGTTGTTATGGGTACCTTGGGATATGTAAATTGCGTGACCCCTCGTAATTAGTCGTAATTAGTCGGCTCCGAACTCGAGATCTATCCTTCCGAAGAAGTCTTGGTGCCATTGTGATTGCTTCGATCGTTGCGATGTTTATTGTCTTTACACGGCTGTTTCGAAGGTTCCAGATTAGCGCTATGATCAAATTAGAGACCAAATCTGAAGGGTCTTCGAAGAGTCCATGCGCTAAACATAACGAGGAGCAGCGAGAATCACGAAGAGTTTGTGAGTGACAGAGCAAGCTGTTGACATGGAAATTCCTACGGAAACAAGTACCCATGACATAAAAAAAATGTTAGTTTACTTCATCGAACGTTTCAGCAGCTACACTAATTTCGGTCTTTTCGTTATGGTCGTTTCGTTTTATTGTTTTTCTATGCAAACGTGACTATTTTGATGGTAAAAATGATATATGATCGGTTTCTGAAAGTCGTTGCCGAGCACGTGACCATAATTTGGCCGGTGTTTTTTTGATCACTTGACGATCTTCCAATTAATTTCTATCGCATCCGTGTAAAAAAATACAAGCATATGCATTTACTGAGAAACAAAAGAGAAATTCAAAACTACGAGAAATTGCGAGTAATCGGCCTCTTCTGCTGCACGCGGGTCTTTTGGTGTAACATGCGTGTGTTTCCCATAGGTTATAAGCACTTCACGCACGTGGGAATGCTGCAATCACGGTATAAGCAGTGCAAGGTAGAATGGCTATTGTCAACCTGGAGTGCTTATGTGCGCCATTTTGCTTCATCACTCTTTGCCACTTCTAACACTTGAATATTATGAATAGTAATTCAGAGGGGGGGGGGGTGAGGGTTAAAAGTTCTTGGAGATAGGCTAAAACAGTGTGCCGCTGGATAGGGTCGCATTTTAACGACTGCCTTGACTTTTATGGCGTTGCATTTTCAGCTATTTTCAGTAGAGTTACTAGAATGGGGTTACACATTTTTGAGACTCAAGGTGTAAGAAAATTATGGCAAGTAAGGATTCATAAGCAGGAAGATTCGTGGTAAAAGAGTTGTTATCGTATTTTAATATTTATTAAACGGCTCCCATTCCATTTTGGTCTTGCCCAAAAGCGGACAAAGATGAGGTGTATAACTGGCCACAACATAGGCTAAAATACGGCAGAGGTTCTGAGAAGCCAGCTGCACATACCCAGCAAAAAATGACCCATGTACCCCCCTCCCGGGGGGTTTCCATCACATACTCAAGCATCTGTTAACTGCGCGAGCGGGTCAAATATGTATGAGAAAACTAACTATGAGTGTGAAGTGAAAAACATGTCACAAAATTAAAATCAAATTCTAAATTACATATTTTCAAATAAGAAAAATGTTTATCCTCTAAATCAGGCTTCAGTAGCCCAAGGTCCTAAAAATGACTGATGTGATGATCCACTGAAATTCTGACATAATGATGCATTGATTTTTAACTGTAGATTGCATGAGCATCGAAACGGAAATTTTAATTTGTTTTAGTCCTTTAGGGTAATCAATGCATTTATTTCCTTGTTGTTTTGTAGGCCTCAAGAGAAAATGTCAAGAGGCGGTTACAGCAAAATATCTAGTGATGATGAAAAAGTAAGTTTTACATCCGCTCTTTTCTTTCGTTGGATGAACAGCGTCCTCAAGACAGGCAGTCAAAGACCTTTAGATCAGGATGACTTTTTACCGTTACAAGAAGAGAACTCGGCCTGTTTTCTCACCGAGAAGTTTCGAGAAAGCTGGGAAAACAAGAAAGTTCACTGCAAAAAAAATGGGAAAAAACTCAAGTTGTGGAAAAGCGTGTTTCAGATGCTCTCTGTTGAAGATGTTATCATTATTTTGTTGGGAAATAGTTTGTTTACAGTATCTCGCCTTCTCTATCCATTGCCTCTCGGATATCTTGTTGCCAAACTAATGTCAACTGAGACGGGCCATTCCTTTTCCCTCTATGCATGCGCTTTGGCTTTGTGTTTCAATGCTTTGATCGGCAGTCTTGGAATGCATCATCAAGACTATAAAGGAGAAGTGTTGGGGATTCGAATAAGCAGCGCCTTGAGAGGTCTGGTGTACCACAAGGTAAGTACGGTTCAGCTTAAAGGTACTAAGGCATTTTTCTATTACTCCTAAAATTCTTCAGCCCGGGTTAGACACTCAAAAAAGAAAAAAGTTATCCATCCGATCCGGAATTGCTATTTCCAGAACTTAAAATCTTGTTATCAGTTGCGGCCTCTGGGAGCCAGGGAACGATGTCATTGAATCAAGCGAAGAGGCAAATTGGTTTTTGTGCAAAAAGCTGAAAATTGAGGGGGCAGAATAGTGCGTGGTCGCCACAATCACAACTGATTTCTCCAGTCAGCGGTGTGGTTAACGATGTCAGTTATTTGTTGTGTAAGTATAAGTGAACAATCTCACTAGAAATCATAACAAATATATCTTCACTTGTCAGAAAAATTGTTTCTACTGGGGTGACGGACTTAGTCAAAAATCAGGGACTGCTCGTAGTCTCATAAATTTTAGAGAACACTTACTCTCTTTGTTACTAGCTCCAAACAAACGAACAAACGAACCGGCAAACGAACAGTGTGAGTCAATTTGATGTCCTTAACTATCTGCAGACGCTTCTTCTCAGCAAGCAGACGTTACTGAAATTCACAGCTGGACGCGTAATTGACCTGATATCCAATGACGTGAAGCGAATGGAGGAAGAGACCATCAAGTTTTTTTTCTTGACCATTTTCGCATTCTTTAGCACTGCGGGATCAATGTTCCTTATCACATATTTGATTAGCTGGCAGGCTGTAGTGGGAGTTATCTTCATGTGTTTCCTACTGCCGTACTTTGCGGTCATGTCCTATTTCAGTGCTAAGCTGCGCCTACGCACGGCAGCCGTGTCCGATCAGCGCATTTCTTTGATGAACCAAGTTGTGTCCGGGATCCGCGCGATCAAAACGCATGCGTGGGAAGATGAATACCGAGAAAAAATAAAGCATACTCGAAGGTGAGGTCAGATGTTATGTCAACTCAGGAGGTCAGAGGCTAAAAATCTCGAGTCTCGATGGGGTGAAGGCTTTCGCGGCAAACGATTAAAATTTTGGTCAGTAGACTAAAGGTTAACCCAAATTTGTGTTGGAGATGGGAATTATTTTTACGGTTAATTTTTTTACGACTAACGGTTAAAATTTGTCAATTTTTACGCCTAACGGTTAAATGATTTGGCTCACGGCTAACGGCTAACCCCAATGAGACCCTCAACTTAGCAATCTTAGCTATGGAAAGTAAATTTATTTTTGATTGAGGTATTCTGAAAGTAGTTCTGTAGGTATTTCAAAATTATTCCACGAGCGTACGTTTGATGCGAGATTATACCATCGCAATCATTGGTATTCCTCGCTATCTGATTGGCGTTCATCGGTGCCATTTATTAACGAATCGCTCCACTTATTGCTCTAAATCGCATCTTTTTCCCAGCTAATGAGAACGTTTACTTAAAAAAAATAAAAACCAATCAGATCTCAAGGCTCGGTGAGAGTATCCAATCAGACTGCAGGAAACTGAAAGACAACTTCTGCAACTTTTTACAAACCAGGTCGGCACTAGATCAATAAAATATTTGTACAGACTAAAAAATCCTGTATTTGAGCGACTGAATTTTGCGATTTCACAATGGATGTAAAAACGCACGAGGTAAATGAACTTCGTGTCGTGCACTTTTTGTCTGAAATCGTACTTTTGATTTCAAACCATGCTGTGTGCTTGTTTGATTTTCGAATCACGCGTATGATTTCAGGCGAAATTGCACTCCACTCTGTTCATTACCATTATTATTGATAGAATTGTCCAAGGTCAGATATTCCTGTCGATGCTTGTAAAATTTCATTCTAACTTAATACTAACCAATCTTGCTGTTATCGACGGAAGGGTAGACTGCTGAAACGAATGACTCCCCATGGGGCTTTATTGAAAAGTTCTTCAGTGTACTGATTTGAAAAATACGTCAATAAATAGTTCATGTAACAACTTTTATTATTAAACTTTGAATAAATATTTTTCTATCGTTTGAGGCGAGATTGCACTAGATTTGAAAATTTATTAGCCACAAATTTTGTGAGCCCTTCTGATTTGTGATTTTTACGCATTTTTAGGTATGACATTCCACTGAGCATTCGCATATAACATGGGATAAAATTTTTTTTTCAGGCATGAAATCAGTGTCATTTCGAAGAAGACAGCCATTAATTCAACCATTGATGCTTTGATTTACTCTGTGGTTCCAATGGCTACTCTTGTTTCAGTAATCGTCATGGTGTTAACGGGACAAACCCTCAAGCCTCCTGATGTTTTTATGCTCCTTTGCTTTATGCGAATACTTAAAAATAGCTGCTTCTATGACTTGCCCGTTGGCTTTATGGGAACATATGATGCATTCGTTTCGCTTGGAAGAATCGAAGAATTTCTTCTTTTGAATGATATGTCTGAGACCTCATTTGGTGATGAATGTAAAGAAGACAGACTTCAAACAGAAAGTGGCTTAACTAGACCAAATATCTGTTTCTCTGATAGCCAAGCTGAAAATATGAGCCGAGACAGTTCCTACTTTGCGTATCACGAAAAAGACCCAATACCTACCACTGTATGTGTTTCGAATTTGACGTGCAAGCAATACCTTCGTGAAGACGAGTTCATTCTCCAAGATATCGACATAGTCGTACCTCCACAGAGTTTAACAGTTATCACCGGACCAGTAGGAAGTGGAAAATCTACTCTGCTCTCGGCGATTGCTGGTGAAATACCTTACGCAAGTGGAACAATTAAATACCAGGGTTCTGTCATTTATTTGCCTCAGTCTGCTTGGGTGTTCTCGGGAACGATAAGAGAAAACATTTTGTTTGGTCAGCCTTACGAAGAATTCAAGTACGAAAGAATAGTCGAGGCTTGTGCTCTGAAGGAAGACATCCAGCGGTTTCCTGATGGCGACCTAACGATTGTGGGAGAACGCGGTGAAGTTCTGAGCGGAGGACAACAAGCGAGAATCAGTTTAGCGCGCGCAGTTTATGCTGACGGAGATCTCTATTTATTGGATGATCCACTGAGTGCTGTCGATTTCAAAGTTGGTCAACATATCTTTGAAAAGTGCATGAAAGATCTACTGGGTAACAAAGTTGTTCTTTTATCCTCACACCATCAACAGCACATGGAAAACGCCGGCCAAGTGATTGTGTTGAACAAGGGCCGTGTGCTGGAGAAGGGACGATTCACTGAGCTACAAGAGCAAGGCATAATTAGCTCAATCGTTGACTCTCATTTTAAAGCATCTATGAAGAACAACACTGAGCCATATGAGACGGTTGGGTTGGAGACCAAGGAGAAACACGATGATATTAATAAATGTCAGGAAATACTTCCCCTGCCCAATGCGGGCAAGAGTTTAGAGATAGCACCGGAGGATCGCACAATCGGAGTGGTAACATCTAAGCTTTATTGGGACTACTTCACAAGTGGAGTGCATCCCTTAACAATAATTGGAATGGGCGTTTTATTTCTCATCTCTGAAGGTAAACTAGCACCTAGACTGAGCATTTGCTCAGAGTTAGATCCAAAACATTAGATGTTAAAAAAGTAACCTTTTTTTCATTTCCTTTTCTTCTTTATTGAATATTGTATTACAATTTACCTTGCAGTACTCTCTGTTCCTAGGTAAAGCTTTACTTACGAGAAAAGAAAAATTCTAATTCAACCGCGCATCTTTGTTTGTTTGTTTGTTTTTTTTTTCAGCCGCCATAGTTGCTCCGGACTTTTGGCTCTGGTTTTTAACAGAACAAAACCAAGAGGATCAGAAAAACAAGACTTATCTTTCTATTTACGCCTGTCTTGTGAGCGTGTGTCTTATATTTACCGTTGTTCGAGCTTATGGTTTCCTCCTGATTTGTCTGAGGTGTGCTGAACGTCTGCACGATAAAATGCTTTTAGCTATATTACAAGCACCTGTTCTGTTCTTTGATTCAAATCCCGTGGGAAGAATCCTAAATCGCTTTGCTAGTGATATCGGCTGCGTGGATGAGCTGCTACCCAAAACATTCTTGAAAGCAGTGCAGAATCTCTTGTCGATATCCATCTTAATTCTGATATCGATTACCACAAATCCTTGGCTTTTCTTTCTTGCCTTTCCACTGACGACGATGGTAGTGTATATTTCCAAGTATTACTTGAAGACTGCCAGAGAGCTGAAAAGGTTGGAGTCGATATCCCGAAGCCCAGTGTTCTCTCATTTTTCGGAGACTCTGGTAGGACTGGACACGATTCGCACCAGAGGAAGGCAGGCAGATTTTGTGGAGACATTTTACAGGTAGATCATTGACACTGACACTTACCGCGTGGTGGGGGGAGGGGGAGGATTTTTTTGGGGGGATCACATGGTTTTCAGGTAGGGCAGAGGAGTTCTTTAAAGCGTGATTTTGATAAGTGTATGCTGTCTTACAAAAATTGAAAAAACAAACCACAAATACAAATCAAACAACCATGCTAACAAACACCACTCACTTACTCATACACGCATACAAACAAAACACCAAACAATTCATCGATATAATTTCATAACTTAACTGTCGACAAAATACACTTCTAAAAGTGCAAATTTAACACTTAGAAACACGTTCAGAAAAAATTATTATAAAAAAAGTACAAATAGTTTGGGGATTCATTATGCACGATGAAATATGTCAAATGGAACAAATATTCCAATTTACACAAGACTACACAATTTACGCAGATTTGTGGCCCGAACCTTTATCTGGACCAGAGAGGTGGACCCAGGTAAACTATATGATTATCGAAATGACCTGGGGAAAGTGGGGTGAATTACACAATGCGGGAAGTTCTAGGAAACAATTTTCCCTTTTTATTGTTTCCTTGGTATGTTTATAGGCTACATTATGTTGTCAGGCCAAAGACCGATCTTAAGTTTATACGTTAATTGGCCTCCGTAAAGAGTTTAAAAGTTGACGTTTCGAACGTTAGCCCTTCGTCAGAGCGAAAGGCTAACGCCTGATGAAGGGCTAATGCTCGAAACTTCAGCTTTTGAACTCTTTACGATGGCCAATTTACGATATCAACTCAGTTGATAATGCTTAATTACCCTGTTATACTCCCCCACTAACGTGGCACCACAGTTTATTTAGAAACTTGCCCCGTTAGGTTTATATGCCCTGGTTCGACTTCAGAGTACAGCCACCAGATAAAATTGTTATCATTATCAAGCTAAATTTCTTCATTGTAAACGTTTAATCCCGGCAGATATCAAGATGTTCATAATCAGTCGTACATTTTGGTGATGGCCAGTGGTAGATGGTTAGGAGTCCGTTTGGATTGTCTCGCTTCCCTGTTAGTTGGTGCAGTTGCTCTGGCCGCAGTACTGGTCTCTCAAAATGCCGGTGAGCTCTACAATGACCCTGTTGTTAGTTTCTATCTGAGAATATGTATAGTCGCGAGTTTGGTTACAGCATAGTGTTAGTGAGACAGTGGCAATGGACTACAAAACCTGTTGTTTAATGGAGCATTTCGTGCGGTGCACACTACTTGACGTATGTCACAGTAAATAGTTAGTTTCCCTCCGGTGCTGACTATAGAAAAAAAGGAAGGAAGAAAAAAGAAAAAAAGTAACCAAAAAAAAACAAAACAAGACAGACTCTGCACACCCCAACATAAGTACGCATATTCTCTATACTGTTCTCTGTACATTTCCTTAGGAACTGGCCAGGAGATTTTTTTTTCACAGTCAAGAGCCTCTTCAGTTGGTGATCATTTCCTTGATTCAGGGATGATATTGTGCGGAGAAATCAGACATTAGTCACTCTCAGGGGTTAAAGGGTTAACAATCCTTTAAAAAGAAACTGAGAAGGCAGTCAGAAGGTAGCAGCAGTAAGGCTGAGCATCATAAAACTTACAACAACAGCAGAAATAACAATAATGGGAACTTAATAGTGAAATCAATTTTGCCTAATTGGTCATTTACTTGGTTCAGAATTTTTAAAATGACAGTCCAAATATCTTTTCAGCTTTCGCTGGCCTTTCACTTGTTTACGTCATCCAAGTTATGGTAATCACTCAATATACTGTTAGAAAAGCCGCTGAAGTGGAGAATTACATGACGTCAGTTGAAAGAGTTCTGACGTATACTAAACTTAACTGTGAGCCTGGGTACAAAGTAGAAAGACACCCCCCTAAAGATTGGCCAAGTGAAGGACGTATTGCATTCAGAGATGTATCATTGACGTATTATCCGGGAGGACCTCAAGTGCTGAAGGAAATAAATCTTAATATCAAAGGAGGAGCAAAGATCGGAGTTGCTGGCCGTACAGGAGCTGGGAAATCATCGTTAGTGGCAGCTCTTATGCGCATGCCTGATGCTGACGGAGAGATAATTATTGACGAGATTTCGATAAAAGATATAAACCTCCGACAATCCCGACGAAGTATTTCGGTCCTTGGTCAAACTCCTGTGCTTTTTAGTGGAACACTGAGAAAAAATCTAGACATTTTAGAGGAGTTTGAAGATCCTGACTTATGGCAGGCCTTAGAAGACGTGCAGCTAAAAGATTTTGTAGAGAATCTTGAGGCGAAGCTTAATCACGAATTGCTTGAACACGGTGCTAATGTCAGTGTAGGAGAGCGGCAGTTGATTTGCTTGGCTCGTGTGCTGCTGCAGCGAAGTAAGATTATTATATTAGACGAGCCAACTGCGCATGTCGACCCCGCCACAGAGCAGACGATTTGGGACATTGTACGGGAAAAGCTGAAGGACGCAACTGTTATCACTATAGCTCATCGTTTGAACACTTTAAAAGACTGTCAGATGATTTTGGTTCTGAAAGATGGAAGAGTTCATGAATTTGACAAATTTAATTCACTGGTGAGCACTCAGATCTGAAACTGGCATGGCCCTTTGAACGGACTGAGGAAAATTTTAACTTGGAGGCACGTCGCCGCATTTTGACTCCGGCTCTATCAACCATAAACCAAAGTCCATTTGGTGCGAAAATGGAGCACCAATTTTTTATATCTGCAGTAAGATGATAAAAGATTAACCGTAACAATAACTGTGTGCCTTGGTTAAAAAAAGCTGTTCCTCCTTTGAGAGAGCTGATCAGTTATGAAACACTTTAAAAAATCGCTAGTTTCACCCAAGTACTCGGCTTCATCCAATTGAATAATTCTTTCCCAATGATATCAATATGCAAATATCTATTTAGTGTTTTTCATCAGAAGAAAGTTCCAGTCTGATTGAGACCAATTAATTAAAAGTGTGTATGTTTCTTTTGTTGCTTGAAATGCTTCTACCCGAAATTCTAAACAGACCTTCCTTACATAATAAGCTTTAAGACTCCGCGAAGGAAATAAATAACATCAAGTACTTTAGTTCTTTGATTGTTCGGCGATTGCGGGGTTGGTTGGAAAAACTCATTTCACCAACGTGAAGCCACTTTAACCCCAAACATCGCACGCCCTGTTGGAAACCAAACATACTTTCTGAGTTCGCTTGCTTTCGAATCGAGTTCGAACCCAATTCAAGTTAATTTGATTCGATTGCTACATACGGTGGGTCGGGTGGTTGATAAAAAGCTCTTTTTCAGCACCAGTAACGGAAAACATTTCTAGCAAAACGACTTGCAAGTCTCCACGAAAGGAAACCATTTACGATTTATGGGAGTATTCTAAGACATTTGTTTGCAAAAAGGTGTAAAAGACTTGAGAATAAAAACCGGAGAATGCATCTTTTATTCGCACTAAGATCGAACGAAGAACAGCAGCCAAAAATTTTAAGATCTTCTATCTAGGAAGGGCTAGATAAACGTCTAGTTAGGTATATGAAAAAAAAAACTCAGCAGAAGGAATTTTAAATAATTAGCAGACTCTGTTTATTTTTCGGGAAAACCGCGAGGGGCAGAGGTAGCCAATAAGATTTGTTCGCAGAGATGGCGGGAAATCCGGGAATTCTTCACACCCCACACCCAGCTCAGGGTAATATGAGCCCTGAGTTTCCGCTACATAAAGGGCCACTGTATATCACTTCATACTGTCGCGAGTTTAATTTTGCGAAGGTTGTTCTGTGATTGACGGCCGATTGCAAAATGAACAAGCTCGCTATTGCCCTTTTTCATGCGCTTTTAGTTTTCTTTTTCTCTCCGAAGTCCAGTGATGGACAAGGATTGAGACCTCAACCGATAAATATCGCTCAAGGGAAGAAAATCGAAGCAACTGCAACATGTGGGGAAGATGTCAGCGAGCCAGAACTCTTCTGCAAACTGGCCACTGTACCCGGGAAGCTGGGCATTCTAGGGTTGTCCTGCGATCACTGCGAACCAGATACGTTTACCAAGGATCACTCGATCAAATATGCCATCGATGGAACGGAGAGATGGTGGCAATCTCCTCCGCTGTCCCGCGGCCTACAGTACCAAAAAGTAAACATCACGATTGATCTAGGACAGGTAGTATTTCTCCGTATACATGATTCACGCGTAGTTTCTTTGTCCTTGGTGTTGCTGTTTCGTCAAATGCCTATCGCTGTACTGCAATGTGATTGTTCGGAGAGATCAGTCAAGGGGTTTCGCCACTATCGAGCACACTGTGATTTGTTGTTAGTATTGAAAATTATGAGCCTAACTAGTGTAAGAAGAAGCTTTACTGTGGTTTGGAAAGTTCGTTCAGCAAACCAGCTGAAATTTCAGTCCATTGTGACACGTGTGAGGGGAACATTTTTCGCACCGAGGAATCAAGAAACCGAGCGTACAGAAATCTCACTTATGTGTGAGACAAATTGAGTATGCATCATGTAATATTCTGCACTTATTCACACTTCAATACCCATACATTGTAAATCATAAATCACGCTGCGTCTTTTTTATTTCTTGTACGCATCTCTCGAGGAAATTTAAGATTTTAATTGAAAACCTTATGTTCAACTTGCATCGATCAAGGTCCAGAAAAGCGAAGGATGTAAAAAAGTAACCAACAAATCCTAACATTTGAATTCTTTCATTAGGTTTCGGGCATTTAAAAACCGTAATTTGTCTTATTTGAGATATTCTACCTTTGGATTGAACAATTGGGTAAAATAAAATGGGAATTTTCCCCTATTTGTGCCTAAAGACAGGAATGTTGAGACTGCCAGGAATGTACGTTTGGTTTTCCAGTGTCTACTCTCTTTGGGAGGTTTCTTAAAGCTTTCCTGTTGGGTTTTAATTTTAATTTGACAAGGTGCCTCTTTTCTGTATCATTTGTGTAACACACCTTGAAGATGCGTCTTGGAAAACCAAGTTGTCATTTAACATTTATCTGCTATGATATAGACTTCTTTCTGTAGTAACAGCTCCAGAGATTTGAGAAATCTAAGCAAAATGATGAATAATCAAAGTTTTGATGAGGAAGGAGTCTTTGATAGGGTTGTAGATGGTAAAATAAGTATTTTTTAATGGTTCAACTAAGATTGTATATTAAGCTTAACCTGTTTTCTCATGTAGGAATACCAAGTAGCCTATGTTATAGTAAAAGCTGGCAATGCTCCACGCCCAGGTACATGGGCCTTAGAGAAATCTGTTGATGGTGGAAGAACATTCACCCCATGGCAGTACTTTGCTACTACTAACAGTGATTGTCTGTCGTACTTTGGAAGCTCAGCACTGTTGCAGTCATTTAAAGATGATACCACGGTCACTTGTACAACAAGCTACTCTCAGGTTCCACCTTTTGAAAATGGGGAGGTGCGTGTCATGAGATTTTTTAGTTGTCTGATTAGCTGTAATGGATAGAAATGACTATCTTTTTTCTCCAAAACCACAGATTTATTTAGCTGTATGTGTTATCAGGAAAATCAAGATGTTTCCTTAAATGTAATCAAACCTCTGTAATTGGACACACAAGCACACCAAAATAACAATTTAGCTATCTTTGAAAAATTATAATTATTATAAGTTTGAAACACTAGAATTTTGTTGCTATGTAATTTGCAAAAATAATCTGGTATAGCTTCTCACCTTAGTTAAATTCATGCAAATCTCTTCACATTTCAGATCCATATTTCATTAATTAATGGAAGGCCAGGAGCAGCAAACTTTTCTTACAGTCAGGCATTACAGGTAAATGTTGTCTCCATTTGGCAAGCAAAATTGGTCAGTATCAATCAACAGGACTTACAATATTCTGTTTAATTCATTTTGGGGCAATTTCATGATAACTTAATAACGATTTGCTAAGTTCTTCTACTCATGTTAACAAACTGAACATGTAAAGAATGCAACTTAGTATGTGAATGGCTTTTTATTGAAATGTCATGTTATTGTTTTCCCTAGTATACAAAATTGATGCTTGTTTCTTTTAGGAATCTGCTGAGAGATCTTTGGAAATATAAGGAAGCAGTAAAAACCAATTTTAAAAGACCTTAACTATTGATAATGCATTCCAGACACTAGGAATGGAATCAGCCAAGCTTAAGATGTAAATAAACATTTTTCCCTTGCTGGGCATCAATAAGCATGGAAACCAATTCTTTTCTTTATTTACATCTAAAACAGTGAAACATTTTATTACAGGAGTGGACTCGTGCTACTCACATAAGACTCAGGCTGTTAAAAGTGAAGACTTTGTTAGCTGATCTGTTACCACTGGCAAGGAAAGATCCATCAGTTACTAGAAGGGTTTGTAGTAATGCTGTCTTGTGTATTCAAATTCACTATCTTTCTATTTTAATTAATATTCCCTCAAAAGATAGGTTTTGTAAATTTTATCAATGAGTTCTTATTCATTAAGTACTTCAGTGAAAGAAGAAAAATTTGGATACATACACTTTGAAATCATCTTAACTTCTTAAATCCCAGAAAATCAGATGTAATTCTTCTTACTGCCTGCTATACATACCTTATTGTGTTGGTTTGGAGAATTTGGTATTGGATGAAGTAGTTATCACCTAATTGATATTCACCTTAAGTTCATTTGTTTTGTTTGCAGTATTTCTACTCAATAAAGGATATTTCAGTTGGGGGAATTTGTATGTGTAATGGCCATGCTGATGAATGTATTCAAACTGCAGAGGACTCACAGTTCAGATGCAAATGTAAACACCAGACATGTGGCATCAAATGTGAAGAATGCTGTGTAGGATTTGTGCAGAAGAAATGGAGACCTGGAACTGCAGAAAGTAGCAATGAGTGTGAAGGTGATTAAAGAGTTTTATGTGTTTAGTTCATACTCAGGTAATGTGGCTAAGGGCCCTTGGCTTGTAATCTGGCAGTCCCAGATTCAAGTCTTCAACCCTGCTACTCACTGGATTTGTTGCTGGTTTCTCTGAGTTCAATGTCTTGGCAGTGTTTTGTAAATCATGTTTTCTATCATTACCAACCTTTTCCAATTAGCCACTCACCCATTTGATAGATTTTAAGTTGAACTATGTGGTGTTCAGGCTGTGTATAAACTGTGCCTATTTTTTAATCCCTAATTTTTGCCTGATGGTTATGTACAGTGTATATTTTTGTTGAGTTTGTGAAAAAGCTCAGGGTGTGGTGTTCAGACTAGTATTATAGTGATGTGTTCTTATTTTTATCAAGTTTATTTGTTTTACTTTCCTAGCCTGTAACTGCCACAACCATGCATCTGACTGTTATTATAGTGAGGAAATAGATCAGCAAAAGGGAAGTTTAGATATGAATGGGAACTATGAGGGTGGAGGAGTGTGCATCAACTGTCAGGATAACACGGCTGGAATTAACTGTGAACAATGTAAAGCAGGATACTATCGACCAGCAGATAAGGCTAAGACAGATCGTGATGCTTGTAAAGGTATGGCTGTAAACTATTATAAGACTGATGTGCTATAAAATGCTACCAGAATACCCACCTTTAATTAGATCATAGCCTTAACTTATATATTTTTTTTTCACTTCCAACTTGTCATGCAAGAAAGACCAATGATGCAGAGCTTGGCATGTAGATCACACGGTGACGTCACAT